TGCCTCTGCTATCCCTTGCTATCTCCCTAATCTCCCTTCTCTCACAGGTAGCCCTGGCCATGTCCAGTCCTCTCTCTTTTCTCTCTGCTCTGTACCCTTGCAGAAGCCTCTAGATATATTTTTCTCTCCTATACACAGTACAACCTCTCCCTTAACCATACCATGGAGTGATGTCTTAGTCTCCCGGCTGGCTTGAATACTGAGTCAGCACCCCCAGTTACTTCTTTGTTTTTATCTTGCAGTATGTGTACTTGTGCTGTAAGGTGGAGGCAGGACGTGTGTGCCACAGCATATATGTGGAGGTCAGAAGACAACTTTCTCTCCTACTTCGTTGAATCGGGATCTCTCTGTTGTTTCTGCCGTGCTGCATACTCCAGGCTAACTAGCCCCAGACTCCCGTGTCTCCCTCCCTTATCACTGTAGGCAAGCTGGGATAGCAAATGGGTGCATACTGCATCTGAATTTTTTAATTTTTATGTGTATGGGTGTTTGGCTTGTGTTATGTCTGTGTGCCACATGTGACAGTACCCCCAAGAAGGCAGAAGAAGGCACAGGAGATTCCCTGGAATTGGAGTTGCAGATGGTTATGAGCTGTGGGTCCTGGGAATGAACCAGGGTCCTCTGGAAGAGCAGCCAGTGCTCTTTAACTACTGAGCCATCTCTCCAGCTCCCAACTTCTGGCTTTTAAAAATACATTCTGGTTCCAAATTCAAGTCCTCAGCCTTGCTACCTTGCCTATCTAGTACCCCAATTTGGGGATCTAAAGACTGGCCCAGACCTCTGATTCTGGTACTCACTGACCTAGTCCACGTCCAGGCCTTTGAAAAAACGAGCTTGGCCTACTTCTGTGGTTCTTTCAGACATCAGATACTGTTCTACCAGAAGAACAGAAATTTCATCCACAAAGTAGCTGGTGGACTCCAAAAAGAAACATCTTTAAAATTGAAAAATCAAGCCGGGCATTACCAGGTCTCAGGTTTTTACTGAAGAAAAACATGCACACAGACAGAGGTGTCTGCAGAGTTGCTGTTGTTTGTAGCCATGCAGCCATATTGTGAGGGAGAAAGGCTTCTGGATGGAGCTCCAGGGATCACTCCTCCATCACATTGCCTAGGACTTGGGACCGTCACTGTGAGTTTGTTGGAGATGCCTGCCATGATACTGTCTTCTGCTGAGACCTCCTTTACTTGAACGTTGAAGATCCGACTTTGAGATTTTGGGATCTGAATCCCCAAAAGTTACAGATGAGCCACTACTGGTCTCAGGGGCTCCGAGAGCAGTAGAAGTGATTGAAGTCAACATTAGCCCTGGGGATGCTGTATCCAAAATAGGTGATGTCAAAACTGCTTGTACCTTGGGGCTGGAGAGATGGCTTGGAGGTTAAGATCACTGGCTGCTCTCCCAGAGGTCCTGAGTTCAATTCCCAGCAACCACATGGTGGCTCACAACCATCTGTTATGAGATCTGGTGCCCTCTTCTGGTGTGCAGGCAGAACACTGTATACAAAATAAATAAACCTTTAAAATAAATAATAATAATAATAATAATAATAATAATAATAATAAAAACCTGCTTGTACCTCAGAGATTTTCCTACCTGTGATTGCAGCTCCAGAGGATCCAACATCCTCTTCTGGCCCCTTCAGGCGCCTGCAAACACGCTGAAGTTTTTCCCCTCTGACGGGCTCCCAGCTGAGACTTTATCTGCATCTCTAACAGACTTCTAGGTGCCAGGATTTCTCACCAAGAGAACTGGGTTTGCATCATAGGGGATATTTGTGGTCACACATCTTCCCCTGATTCCTGAGAATCAGAGAGCCTGGCTACAGGTTTGTGCTGTAAAGCCCCGCATCCTCAAAAAGGTATAAAAAGAGACCCCACTTCTGCCACAAATGCCACAAGAGCCCTCACTATACTGTCTGTCTCTGGTGCTGGGGCCTGAACTTCTCAGAACCTCCACCATGCTGTCTGTCAGTCTGTCCATGATGTTAGTAACTCTTCTGATAAACTTCTTGCCCCCAATGATCCTTGTCAGTGCCCTCTTGAGCCCACATCAAAGATCCTTTAGCTATGGCCGAGCTGTGAACCCAAGCTGTCCCTGGGGTCGAACTTTGTTCCTGACCCTCCATGTCTGGAGAGTTTCTGCTCAGTGACCAACAGAGGACTGGAAATAGGACATGCTAGGAACTGGAGGTGGGCTTCCGTTCCTAGTCAAGAGTCCACAAGAAATCTGTCCAAAGTTTCCTTGAGGCTTCATCACCTCACAGGTGGTCTTCCCAGAAAGTATCTGGTGTCTGCTGCCTAGAAAGACTCTGGCATCCACGTGAGGTGAGAACAGGTTTGACACCCTGTAGGGTAAGAATGGGGAAGGAGGGGACAATGGTCTTGGTACCTGCCAAGTGCAGTAAGGAGGCAGGAGCCTGTGGCCTACTCTGTTTTCTGGGGCCCAAGCTAGCCCCATGCTCACACTTGCTGCTGGCTCTGCCCTGATAAGACTCTTGTAAGAGGCAGTGAAGGAGATCCATGTTTTCCAGCCTCCCTGCACCCCAGCCTGCTCAGCCTCAGGGAAGTGAGGATATGCCAGCTGTCTGCTGAGATTTCATAAGCAATTGCAATGTGTCAAGCTTCGAAGGAAAACATGATAAATACTTGTAATTTCTCTCAGCCGAGAGGGAACACACACACCCAGGGAAGAAAAGGAAGGGGCTCAAGTCTCCTGTACCCACACTCCACAAGTTTGGGAATGTGAGGGTCTCTTGCCCCAGCCCCCAAAGCCCTGAGAAGGCGGCCAGTGAGGTACAGCCAGCCATGCAGAGAGACCTGTGACAGCCCAGCTCACTGCCAAGAACAAAAGAAATTCCTGAGGGCTATCAGCGATCCAGCTAGCTAGCCCCATTTCCCCATTTTCACTGCAGCCCTAGGGGAACCAAGCAACACCAGCCTCAGTGACCAGAAACTTCAAGGAAAGAAGAGCCCACTGAGGGGACTGGCCTTGACTCCCTGGACAAGCCAGACCAAGACAGTGCCTTTCTCAAAGCTCACAGCAAGCGTTGTTCTCTAACCATGATGTGGCTGGAAGCTAAGAACCCTGTGGCTCTTGGAATGAGCTTGGCCACAGCCTAGGCAGGTGCAGTACCCAAGAGGCATGTATGAGGGTTATCAGACACATTTTTGTTCCAGTTACCAACAGACAGAAGAGCTGCTGCCTGTGTCACTGTGGACTGGACAAGTGAGTAGGGCCCCTCCTCCCTTTAGGAGCCCAAATGACCAGGGATTTGTGTGTGTGTGTGTGTGTGTGTGTGTGTGTGTGTGTGTGTACATATATATGTCCCCCACCCTGAGACCCAGATGCTTTGTGGCTCTGAGTCCTTGGCTCTCGGCCCAGGAGGGAGGGAAGCCTGGATGTAACTGCATGGTTCCTCCCTCTGAGACAGCGCTGGCCTACACTCCTGACTCACAGTCTGTCTGTCTGTCCTCTCTCAGCCTGCTGTGCAGGGGTTGCCATAGCCTGACAATACAGACCCTAGAAAGATGAACTAATGTGGCCCTTATCATAGCAGGTGGCAGGGTATCTGCTCCAGGTCCACATGGGTTGCTCTGTTGGACCAAGACAGGGTGAGAAGGTGGTGCATGGTGACCAAACAGAATCCTAACCTCCAGAACTAGGAGTCACAGTCCCCATGGGTAGCCAGGGCAAGGGAATATGAGATATGTACTCCAGAGGGTTGAGCCAAGGATATATGCTCCCAACAATCTGGGATTGTCAAGGCTCAATTTGGGAGCTACAGCTACAGCTGAGCCTGGCACCAGCTCACAGCTCCTAGGTTCTCAGTGTTTGCAAACACATCCCATTTTTACCAGACAATATCTCTATCCTATGAGCCAGTGTGGAGCCAAGCAGCTTAGACTCAGATCCACATCCTTCATGGAGTGCTTAGCACCATTTGGTGACCTATAGCTCCTTCTTCATTGATAAATGATTCCTTTCCCCCCAGAACCATTGGCCAGGGTGACAGCCCCCTAAGGAACATCTTCCAAGACACAGGGACATGGCCCACTCCAGCCCCCTGCCTACAGCCTCCCACATACTCCACAGTCTCAGCACCCCTCAGTTGCTCCCCATTCCTCAAAGGAAGCTGGGTCTGCTTTGCTGTTTAACCACCTCAGAAATCAGAAGGCTTGGCACAGGAAGGCAGGATGTGACTGCCTCTCCAGCCAGCAGTGGGCAGCTGCCCCCATTATCACCGCCATTGCCCATAAGAACAGAGGGTCAAGATCTGCCCTTGAGAGCCACTGTGCTCCTTCCAGCCCAACACTGAAGAAGCAGCAACCTGTTTCTGCCCTAGCTTCTGGGATCCCAGAGCCACTTCCACCCAAAGGCTTCATCTCCCTGTGAACAAAGTATCTAGGCAGCCCTGGGGAGACCCCAGTGCTTGGCGACAGCCAGGTGTGATCTCTGGGAGGTCACCTCCATCAGGTATTTCTTTCCCCATTCCTCTCTGCCTTCCCTACCCCGATAGTCACACTCTCTGCCTACAGACACTAGTAGCTCAAAGTGAAAAGAAACTATTTTGTTTAAGAAGCATCAGGAGACAGTGGCTTCATCAGAAAATTCTAGCTCTATGTGGTGAGAAAACCAGGGCTCAGGTCAGCCATGTGTGACATTATGCATGTGCCTTCTTATTTAAAAGGAAGGGAGAGATACCACTTTAGTAGACATCCATCAGATACCTCCTCTCCTTCCCACACTCCACTCTCTCAATATCTGTGTGTGTACACATGGGTGCACATGTGTGAGGAATGCACTCGGGTGCACATGCTTGGTGAGCATGTGCAAACCTGTGCGTGGGGGCCAGGAGACAACCTCAGGTGTCTTTCTGCAGATGCTGTATCAGTTATTTTTCCTTGTTGGGATAAAAATACAGCAATCCAGGCAACTTGCAGAGGAAGAGTTTGTTAGGGCTTATGGTTCAGAAGGAGAGTCTTCAGTGTAGTAGTGGAGGCAAGGCAGCAGGCAGCCAGGCCAGGAAGTTAAGCAATCACATTTCCAACCACGCACAGAAAGCAGAGAAGGCAAACTGGAAGTAAGCCAAGGCTATAAACCTAAAGGCCACTTCCGATGATGCAATTCCTCCAGCCAGGTCACACCTCATAAAGGTTCCAGAAACTCCCCCAAACAACACCACCAGCATTTCAGCAGGCGTCTTGTAGGTGATGGACTACTCGAAGGAAGCTGTTTTCCAGGAAACAACATGCTGATGCACACATGAACTAGAGGGACCTGGACTAAGTCAGGCCAGACAAACCCCAGCACGGAGAAGGCGGAGTGGGCACGGGAGTGATGCTGGGTGAGTCAGCCACACTCCAGGGCAGACCTAATCTCAGGCGTAGTTGGCCAGCACAAAGCAGACTCCATGTTTGGTGTATGTGCATTTCCTTTGTTGTACATTTGTTTTCCTTCTTTTGTTTTCATTTTTTTTTTATAGACAGAGAACATGACGTTGGGTGGGGGAGGAAATCTGAGAGGAGATGAGGAAAGGGAAAGAATATGACCAAAAAGTTTACATCTCATGAAAAATGTTTTAAATAATACTTAAATTATTTTACATGTTAATCCTATAACTACAGTTTTAGATGACAAAAAACATTGACTGGGATAGAGAGGCGTATGCAGGCTCAAAGCTGACCCAGAAAAGCAATTTCTTTTTTCTCTGGTCCCATCCTCAAATATATCGAGGGTTCCCAGTAGGACTTGCTAAAAAGAAACCCTTGATTCCCTGTGTCCTTATCAAAAGACATGAGAGGTTTTATTTTATTTTCTGTTCCCTTCTCCATGAGGTCATTCCCTCTTAAATGACCCTTCTCTCCACAGTCAAAACGCTTGCCCTCTCCTTTCTCCCAGGTATCTTTCTCCTGCATTGGTCCCATTGGGAGTCCTCTTATGACTTGGACCTTACACTGCTGAATCTCGGTTTACCTCATTGCTTGGTTTAGAGCTGCCAACATTATCTTTGCCAGAGGTAACTGATCTCCCTAGAACTGGAGTTACAGGCAGTTGTGAGCTGTCTGACCTGGGTGCTGGAAACTGAATTCAGGTCCTTTGGACAAGCAGTATGTTCTCTTCACCACTGGGTCATTCATTCATCCAGCCCTTTTGCTTTTATTTTCTTCATCCCTTTTTATACAGACCTTCTGGACCTCTCTTGGTGACTCTTATAAGTTTCTGTCCCTCCGGCCTTCAATCATAGAAGATTCTGTCTCACTATGTCTGCCCAGCTGTTAGTTACAAAATATAATTTTAGCATCCCTCCTCTTAAGGGTTTTTCTTCATTTTCTAATCCAGGTACTTGCTCATCTGATCCTTTCTAGGAACCAACCCTGTTTCTTCCCTTCCTTGTTGTACATCAAAGGCTCCATTGGTATCCTGGGACCAGGGCACCGTTCTCTGACCCCACCCCCATGATGAGATCCTACGTGTAGCCTCAGTGGGACCTGCCTCATTGTCATCCCATGTGGGGCGTGGGTTGGAGATGTTTTCATCTGCTGTCATTACATCCTGTCAGGTGCTCTCCCTCCTCCTCTCCACCAGAGAAAAGAATACTCAATATAGACATCAACTTGGACCAGGAATAGAGTTGTAGTCCAAGGAATTGATCCAATTGATCAGGTTCAGTGCTGGAGAGATGGCTCAGTGGTTAAGAGCACTGGCTGCTCTTCCAGAGGCTCTGCGTTCAATTCCCAGGACCCATATGGTGGCTCAGAACTGACTGTAACTCCAGTTCCAGAGGATGTGACTTCCTTGCACAGACACACACACAGCCAGCTGATCAGCCTTTCTACGTGGACCTTGGAACTGGACGGATGTAGTTGACAAATCTTATCCCTCCCCACCTAGGGAAACCTCTCTCACTGGGAACATAAATTAAGTTCTTTTGTTGGGAAAAGAAGATTTTGGATATCCTTCTGACATTATTCAAATTCATTTCTTTTTTTGGTTTTCCAGATGGGTTTGTTGTGTTTTGTTTTTGTTGTTGTTGGGTTTTTTGTTTGTTTGTTTGGTTGGTTGGTTGATCCTGGTTTTTCGAGACAGGGTTTCTCTGTGTAGCTTTGGAGCCTATCCTGGCACTCGCTCTGGAGACCAGGCTGGCCTCGAACTCACAGAGATCCACCTGCCTCTGCCTCCTGAGTGCTGGGATTAAAGGCGTGCCCCACCACCGCCCGGCTGTTGTTTTTTTTTTTAATGTTTGTAGTCCTAGCTGTGTGTGCTAGTGTGCCACTATTGCCCAGCTTTCAAATTCATTTCTTAATTTTGAGAGTGCGGGCTGAAGAAGGACTGTGGAATCTGACGCAGAGGCTATGGAGGAGAGCTGCTTCCTGGCTTGCTTCCCCTGGCCTGCTCAGCCTGCTGTCTTATAGAACCCAAAACCAACAGTCCAGGATGGCACCACCCACCATGGGCTGGGCCCTCCCCTGTTGATCACTAAATGAGAAAATAAAGTACCTTACAGATGGATCTCATCGAGGCATTTGCTCAACTACTGAGGGTCCTACCTCTGATGACTCTGACTTTCTTCAAAACCAGCCAGTACAAGGGGCAAGAGGGAGACAGACCCTTAGGAGGAAGCAGAGGAACAGTAGATCAGAGCTGGCTGCAAGTTCTTTGAGGACTGATGGTCACTTTACTTTCATCAGAACACTCGTAATGACTTCCTCCTATCTGAAATGTCAGTCTTTGGCCATAATGCCACATGGGGAGGCTAGTTGACATTTCCTCATCTCTGATTCAATGTCACTTGAGTGCAGTTTGTATCCACTAAGTCAACCTATGACCCTCAACCCTTAGATTTGCATAGGTCTCACAGCAAGCTGTGGTGTTCCAGGGCTGCCTCAAGGATTGTGCTGGGGCAGAAGAAACTTTATTTCAGAACGTTTCTTCTCAAAAAAAAAAAAAAAAAAAAAAAAAAAAAAACCGGCTCCTCCTACAAAGAGAAAACTGCCATTCTCTGTGTTGGTTCTGGGAAGGAACACAGCTAACCTCTGGAAGCTGGATTAACAGGAACTATGACATGTGCGTGTCTGTGTGTATGTCTGTGTCTGTGTGTGTGCGCGCGCGCGTTCACACACCTGTTTATAAGAGAGAGAAAGTACCAAGGCCAAAGGACAACCTGAAGAATTATTCCTCAGAAACCATCCAACTTGTTCTTGAAACAGGGTCTCTCACTGCCTCACCTGGGGGTCCACCACGTAGAGGAGGCTCCACCATCCCCAGGAATTTGCCTTTTTCAAACCTCTCCACCACTGAGATTACAGATGCATGCCACTATTTGTTTGTCTGTGTATATTTACTTCAAGACAGGGTTTCTCTGTATAACAGCCCTGGTTGTCCTGGAACTCTCTTTGTGGGCTGGCCTCAAACTCACAGTTGAACCACCTGCCTCTGCATCCTGAATGCTGGCATTAAAGGTGTGTGCCACCATGCCTGGCTCCCCTTTTTTATGTGGATCCTGAGAGTCAAATTCACGGTCCTCCCACTTGCATGGCCAGCACTGTACTGACTGAACCATCTCAGAACAATTCCTCGTGCCTGTAAAAAGAATTGCTTCTCCAAAGAGAACACTGGTTGCTATCTTTGTTGGTTCATAGAGAGAACAGAGCTGGCCTCTGAACACTAGATTAGTGGGGACCACGTCAATCCCTTTAAAGATATATTCAACCTTCTGGGTCACATTGGAACTACTTGAGACTGAAATGATTAGTAACATAGGCATAGTCTCCCCACAGAGGGAGTGACAGTTGCGTCACTGTCCTCTAATGATGTGGAAGTCATAATTGCTCAGGGCCCCAGGGATCTGAGTTGAGAATAAACGACTTCTCCACCAGACAACAGAAAGCCTTAATGTTACAAAATAGGAGGGGGAGGCAGCTCCATGGGCAGAGTTATTGCTGACATTTGGCTGAGTCATGAGTAATGTTCAAAGTTGACATTGATAAACACTCTAAGATCAAGGACCAGAGACCCTGAGAGGCCAAGAGGAAGGCCCTTGAGACCATGAGCCTGCACACTGTCCTATGGTCAAACCAAGCTATTAGCGCCACCCAAGGCAGAGCGTCTTCCAATGCAAGCCCCCTCCAAAGCAGGCTACAAATCTCAGTCCTGCTCCCATTGCCTTTGACTGTCCTACACCTCTCCATCCGTAAGAAGCCAGCCGGGCTTCCTGGGGACAGAGAAGAGGGTGAGTCATTCAGACAGGAAACACGGAGGACAATTCTGACCTCACTACTTCATCCTAGGGAACAGCTGGTTTTCAGGGGCACATCGTGAAACCTGCCTCTCTCACCCGTTTACCCAACGTTCTGTGCTCTTCCTGTAAAGTTTAATGACACAGAACCCATCGGCAGACGCCACTACTGGCTATGTGAGCAAAGACCCTCTTCCCCACCTCTCAACTGGGCAGGTCAGGACCTGGACAAAGCTGCTTGGCCCTCCCTCTAAGTCACTCCTCACCATCTGGACAAGTGTTCTGCCAGCCAGGTGTGGTTTGTAATAACAAAGGGCTGAGACAGAGGAGTTGTTGAGACACATGGAGACAGCAGGCCGACAGGAAGCTCTCGTCTTTTCCAAGACTAGAAAACAAAGATGTGACTTGACCTTCAGAACAACACTACCATGGGGTAGCATGTCCCAGAGTGGTCCCGGAATCTGATCCCCTAAAAGAAACCAAACCCCAGAAAGAACACTTACCTTCTGGGTATCATGGCAATCCTTCATAAGCCCCTTCTGAAGAGTGGGGTTCTATTGAAGTGCATGAGCAGCTTGGGAGCGCACCTTCCTTTGGGTCCTGCTGGCAGATTTCAAAGCTAGAATAGAGGTTTGCTTCCAAAGAGTTGGTGGGCAGTGCCCCCTACAGGCAAGACTCTGCAGCCTGGCTGCGGCAGGTTCGCCTGAAGGCCATTGTAGGTCCAGGGAAGCCCTCGACTTTCAAAGACCTACAAACCGCTTTGAGAAGAATGGAAATAATCACATAGGCCTTGAATCTTGTCACCTTACCTCGAATAGGAAGATAGAAGAGATGGAATAAGCTGTGTTAATCAGACCACCTGGCTGCAATTCCAGTAGGCAAAGATTGGGCCTGAAATGCAAAGTACCGGTCCTATCTGGTGGCTGCGGAGTTCTAGGCTCCCTACGTCCAATGCTCCACAGCCTGCAGAGGACAGCACACCTGTTCTCAGTATTCATATGTTCAAGTGAGGTCCAGAGGACAGCCAGTGGTCATCAGGTGAACACATGTGAACAAGATTTACAAGCAGGTTGTCTCTTGTCCTCCAGAGCACTGGGTCTCCAGAATTCTGTAAGGGAGCAAGCAGAGTGAGGCCAGCCATGCTATGGGAAATTTCACTACGGCAGAAATGCAATTTGCAGGGAGACAGTGTGACCAAAGGCAGGCTGCATCTGAACAAAGCTTTCACAAATACTCCTCCCACTGGATCCAGTTCTTGGGAGTCAGGACAGGCTCCCACTTATTAGCAATGGCCACCACCTTCCAGAGACAAGATCAGATCCTCAGACCATAAATGCCATTTGGGAGGCTAGAGATGACGCCCGATGGTAGACTGCTTTGCTAGCCTGCATGAAGCCCTGGACTCAATCCCCAGCATATATATCAGCACATACCTAATAGCCGACACTTAGGAGGTGGAGGAATGGAGATCAAAGACCACAGCAATTTTTGGCTATATAGTGAGTCTGAGGCCAGTCTAGGATACATGAGAACTCAAATAACTAAATGAATATATAGAAAGATGACACTTGGTTGAGACCTAAAGGTGGTCTAGGTGATATTTCACCCTGGTCAAGCTTATACAAGACTGGCATATAAACTGTAAGGCTTGTATATTCATTGAACGAGGGAGAACCTTTCTTTCTCATCCAGACCCAGTCTTGTAGGGGACAGTAAGCCACGCCTGTTAGAGGCTGGCTACAGATGTGCCTGACCACGCCTGTCAGGGTGTGGTCAAGGTGAGGTCAGTATGACGCAGGAGGGGTTCTTAAGGGACGGCAAAGCAGATGGGAGTCCTTCTCTCTGGCCTCGCTGCCTTGCTGCTCTGGGCATGATCTGTCTTGCGTTTGGCTGGTGTTTATCTGAATAAAGATATCTTAACCATACAGAGTACGGATCGGTTCTTGATATACAGTCTGAACCCTCCACCACTGGGATCAAGAATTCCAGCACTCACATCCATCTAGTAAAAGAGATTTTTTCCTCCAAAAAACAGGGTTTCTCTGTGTAGCTTTGGAGCCTATCCTGGCACTCGCTCTGAAGACCAGGCTGGCCTCGAATTCACAGAGATCTGTCTGCCTCTGCCTCCTGAGTGCTGGGATTAAAGGCGTGAGCCACCAACACCCAGCTGAGATCCTTTTTTTAAGATTCATTTAGTATGTATACAGTATTCTGCCTGCATATATGCCTGCAGGCCAGAAGAGGGCACCAGATCCCATCACAGATGGTTGTGAGCCACCATGTGGTTGTTGGGAATTGAACTCAGGACCTCTGGAAGAGCAGTCAGTGCTCTTAACCTCTGAGCCATCTCTCTGAGTCATCTCCCCAGCTTGAGCAGCAGGGATCCCAACAAATAAGAAAAGGGTTGACCAGTTGGCTAGCGCACCCACCAGCAGATACCACTTTATATGCTAATCCCATCTGTGAAATAGGCAGCCATGCTACAAAGCTAGTCACAGTCCTGGCCCCCAGGAACTGCCTGAAGACCTCACAGAGAATACAAGTGTGTGCAAAGCTCACCATTGATTTCCACAAGTGAGTGAAGTGCTACCCAGACACCTGCTCCAGGTCAAAGGGACCCTTGCAGAAGGAGCTTCTCAGCTCCCAACAGATATGCATTCACTTTAAAGCTGCCTATTGGGATGACTTGTTGAACACCAGAAAACAGGCTGCAGGAGCACACACGAGATAAAGGGCTAGTAGTTTCACTAAAGCTCGTTAGAAAGCAATAATGAGAGAGCTATAAATCCATGGGGTTGAGGGGTTGGAGCGATGTCTCAGAGGTTAGGAGCACTGACTACTCTTCCAGAGGACCCAGGTTCAATTCCTAGCATCGGCGTGGCAGCTCACACTTGTCTGTCACTCCAGCTCTGGGGGATCTGACACCCTCACACAGACATACATGCAGCTAAAACACCAATGCACATACATAAAATAAAGATAATTTTTTAAAGTGGGTCTTTTCCATTTTCAAAAAATAAATTCATGAGATTCGACTATGTATGTATCTGGCTCCAGATGTGTCTTCTGTTCATGAAAACAGAAAGTCAGCTGGCTCATGAGACAGTAGATAGAGTCCTAGATGCTGACCTCAGTGCTTAGCCTCTTGCTATTACCTGGCATAGAGTCCATTCTGCAGAGACCTGCCAAGGCTTCACAGAAGGAAAGAATGAAGACATTCTCCTCTCCTAAAACACTCAACCTGTCTACAGGCATCAAGTCTGATTTGCAGTCACACATTCCAGGATATATCTGGAATGACAGTCAGGTAGGTGTTTGCAGATATCACGCCGGTGGGATGTGGTCTCAGTGCCATGGTACATACAAACCACATAGAACAGAGGACCAGCTAGATTAGAGGAGGCCGAGGGTTACACAAGGGAAGAAGCTCCCTGTGGAAGGAGGCACTTGAAACAAGATCCTACCTGGTAGGGTTGAGACCACGATGAACCAGAGCCAGAAGCAGTCAGCAGCAAGGTCCCCCACACCCAGATATCTGGAGAATAACCAGTATATTATTCTGAACACTGCTCCTGGGCACTTAAGGTATGCTGGGTCTCAGCCTGGGAACTTGCACCATGGCAGGTCCCAGGTGGTAGGTATATTATGCTTCACTTCAGCCTTACAGTAATTAAGTCAAGTTCTGGATGCCAGACAGACAAAGACAAGGTCACAGGCCCTGGGGGAATCATAACTCCATGTGACAGCTGTGATCCCAGGCCCCACTGGGCTACATCTCCCCCATGGCACTGTTGGGACTCTCCTCACCAACCTACCTCCACAATGGAAAGCTGAAGCCAGCCACAGACGGCTGACTGGCTCTGAGCCCTGAGCTGTCCCAGACAATGAGGCTGGCCAGAGCCTGCACCCTCCACAGTGCCCTACTCACTGTTGTGAGCATGGTCTGGTTACAGGCCTGAATGAGGGACAGGTACAGGGTCAGAACTGGATTCCAAGGCCACAGCTGAGAGGCAGCAGTCAGGAAAGGGATTCTGAAGCCTGAACATGGAGGGCATAGATGAGGGATGAATGATAGAGACACCTGTACGGGTGGCAACTGGGGTGGTTCAGACCTCAAGGAGAGACCACATTCTTGTGTAGACTGCTCTGCCCAGCACTTGGCCCCACCCAATCCAGTGTGGCGTTGTGGCTGTTATACCAGAGTCATTAGTCCCCAAGAGACTACCAGGAGTCTGAGCTCCTATGCAAAAGCAAAGAGCCTTTATTGCAAGCTCCAGGTTGGGCTCTCCATCCGTTCCAACAGGGTGGTTGGATCAGGAAGAACATTGAGCTTAGCTATGGCGGGTTTTTTAAGGAGTAAAGGATGGGGTGTAAGGGAATTCTGGCTTCAGATCGGGGCTAAACTCCAGATTGGGCAGGAGTGAGGCAACAGAAATCCTGTCAAACAGGGATTGGTGCAGGCATTGCTGCAAGGAAATTGTCAACCTATATACAAGTTAGGTAAGCTATTCTTAGTGTTCTGAAGCATCTAGTATTTGTTTGTCTCAATTTTGATTGGTCCCCTGCAGGGTACAGTCTGTGGTTTTTCCTGGTTATTTTAAGAATGAGGCCTAGTGCCAGTATTGTTAGCCTGCAGCCTGTCATGGCTGCACTGATGTTAAGTTAGGCCTCTTCAGTGGCCAGACCAGAAACTAACACCTGTCTGAATTCATCACCAACCCACTTCTGGTGGAGCTCAACTGTGGGGACAGTACGGAGGTAGAAGTAGATGGCAAGGCCAGCAGGACCCAGATGCCAAGGAAGCACCGAACTCTGGGACTGTCATGAGCAACCAGGCCAGGGCCATTCTGAGATGATAAGAGCCTCAATTCTACAAATTGTGGTTGTCAGGCTTTTATTTTTACTTATTTATGGTGTGTGTGTGTGTGTGTACACACACACATACACAATGGTATGGATATAGAGGGTCGACTTGGTTCTCTCCTGCCCCCTGCAGGATCCAGGGGTGAGGCTGCAGTTATCAGGCTTGTGCACAAGCGTCTCTATTGGATGAGCCATCTCACTAGCCCCTGGCTTTAAAACACAAACAAACAACTTTACTGAGATGTAATTTACACACTGTATGATTTATTACTGGCAGGGGGAGAGCCTGAATCTTTTTAACATATTTAACTTAGGGGCGTGTGTATCATGCCATGTAGACTGACTGACTTGGAACTCTCAGAGATTCTCCTGCCTCTGCCTCCAGAACGCTAGGATTAAAGGAGTGCGGTGTTCTTTTAAAGCTAAGGTTTCTGCCAGCTCCCTCTCTGGCCAGAGCCGGAGGCAGGGAAAGGGCTGACCACCAGGGGGCGTGCCGGCACCGGAAGCCAGCCTTTGTTGCGCCTGCGCGGACGCGGATACGCGGCGATCCGGAGCCCAGCTAGCGCGCGCCCTCCACACCGAGTGCGCCTGCGCGGAGCCTGTAGCAACCCTTCTCTCGCCGGACGCTTGTGGCTCGCCCGCGGCCATGGGGGAGGCCGAGGTGGGCGGCACGGGCGCCCCAGGCGACAAGGGCCCCGGCGAGGCAGCCCCGAGCCCTGCTGAGGAAACGGTAGTGTGGAGCCCTGAGGTGGAGGTGTGCCTCT